GTGTAGTACCCAGACTGCCTGTATCAGAAGGAGCCAAGGTGTTTGCTTAAAATGCAGATTCCGGGGGCCACACACAGGCCTACTGACTCAGAACTGGGGGACGGGGAAAGCAGGCAGGAATCTATGTTGTTAAAAAGGCCTCAGATGGTTCTTTGGCACACTAAGGTTTAAGAACCATCATTATAATTTAATAAGAACAATTCAGTTTTACCCCGAATCTCCTGTTTCCCAGCTTGCCTGGCATTGGGAAGGAATGAGCAATAGACATGGATTTGACAGAAAGTAATTGACTCACTGAACCATTCTTCCAGAGCAGTGGACACATTATTGAACAAGGTGCAACTCTGTCTTCATGGAGCTTACAGGCCAGTGAGGGAGACAGAAAATAAACCCATATGTAACTGCAATGATGCCATTTTGGGCAGAGAGGAGGGTTTGGGGGTTTTGTTTTTGTTTTTTAGAGAAGGGAGGCAATTAGATCAGAAAAGAAGAAATTTGGGGAAAATTATATTAATTGCCTGTTTTTAAAGTGTCAGTTTTTAAAGAGTAAGATCCTAAGACTATGTATACATAGTCTGACTCATAGAATAGTAACATCTGAAATATAAGGACCCAGGGAAAAGTAACATTGTAAGGGAAAATAAAATGTTCTTAATACATTTTACATATTTAGCCTCCACTGACGGTGAGATAGAGTGAGTATCAGATTCCATTCTGCTATGAAAACATCACATTGCTAAATTTTAGGGCTGGTGTTCACCAAAGGTCTTGCATAATTTATTTTAGGCCTAGGCTGTGTCTGAAATCTGACTTGTACATACATGGTATTACCATTTGAAATGTGTCAACTCATTTAGTTTAAATAATATTTGTTGCTTGCGGTCCTAGATTCCCAGTCTAAGTCCTTCAGAGAAATCTGCATTAGACATTAGCTGTCAGTAAATGCAATCCTGTGTCTTTGACTAGTGGTAAAATCTGATTATTGATGGATCAGTTATCCATAAAGGCTGGAATACAACATTAGCATAAAGAGGAAAAAAGATTCACTTTTAAGGTCTTTCTCTATTTTGCCTATATCTGATTGGAATGATCAATAAACAAATTATTCCAGATTTTCTTTGGTGAACCCCAAACTGCTTAGCCCAGAGACAGAGCAGTATAGGGGAGCACAGAAGCAGGGCTTAGGGTCTGGTTCTTTCAACTCCATGCTCAGCATTTCACGGCAAGGTGTTTATAAACTGCTAGCCCAGGCAGAGAGAGACTCTAATATGTTTTGTTCTGTTTCTTTAAACCTTATATTCAATAGAGGGGACGCTTGATTTATTTCTCACCCCTAGAAGTTGATGTGACCCTCCAGTCACCTCCTAGTTACTGGTGGCTCAGACTGAATCCAGTTTGGCTCCAGAACTCTGGAGCGTGAACCGGAATCACTGCAGGTGAAGCCCAGAGACTCTGGCTGGAGTCTGGCACCCGGGGCCTGCTGGCTCCCGTCCTTGCCGGACTCCGTCAGAGAAAACCTCATACACAGGCGGCCGCTGCATCTCCCTGTGCTTAGGACGCATGGAATGTGAGCCCAGAAGGGGCAGAGGCGTGCAGAGGACCCTGGGTGAGAGCTAAGTGCTCTGAGGCTTCTGAGCAAATATTGGAAGCAGGGAGATTATTGAGTTGTGAGCCCTGCTTTCAGGGACAACAGTGTAGGAGGGAGCTGTTAGGTCCCATTCCTTGACGTTCTTTAGTCTTTTTCTCTCCATTTAACACCCTACTTTGAAACAATAAGGCTGAATTAGTATCAAATTCTAGGCAACACCACCATCATACCTGATGTGATTAGCAATATTTAGAATCACTGAATGCAGAGCCATCATGTGGAGCATTCCACCAGGATAGATGATGGTCGGGGCGGTAAAAGAACAGAAATCATACCGTGTCTGCCATGAGACCCACCCTGGAGTTAAACTAGAAATCAATAACAGAAAGACCGCTGAATACAAGAGCCAAAGGAATCTTAGAGATGGCTAGTCTAGTCACTTCCCACTTCAGAAGCAGAAACAGGCCCAGAGAAGTTAAGCGCCTTATCTCGGCTTCACAGCGAGTCGGTGTCAAAGGCGGGGGGAGATGTGCTGTCTGATCCAGCACTCTTCCCTCAGCTCCCAGTTACCTGGGATCTCACATGGAGGGCTATCAGTTTTCTAAACGTGGTGCTGCCTTGAATTTCATGCTGCCTCTGGGGAACATTTGGAATTAGATTCACGTAAGAAGAGGAAGGTTAAAAATAAAACCTTCTTCTCCCCGCTCTCCTCCAGTTAATAGTACACGTGCTGAAAGGAGGTGCTGGGGAGTGTCTGTGACACCAGATCATGCTGCCATCCGTGAACATCCATGGAGAGGAGAGAGGGCTGCTTCCTTCTACCATGCCTTCCTACCATTCCAACTCAGAACATCCAGGACCTCATATTAATAGAATCCTGGCCCTGGGCAAATTATTGGGAACAGAGGAGCCAGGACTTTGAGCTGGACCTGATATTATGGGACCCTAGAAAGTCAGGCTGAAAATTAGGAGCCTTCCAGTTCAGCCTCACCCCTCATTTTATAACATGGGAGCTGAGCAACAGTGATAATTCTGAAAATCAAAATCATTATCGGTGTCATTACTGTCTTCATGTGTTAGATATGTTCTATGTGCCAGGTTTTCCACATATGTATCACATTTAATCACTGCAACAAAATGTTGAGGAAGATAGTACCACCACTGTGCAGAAGAGAGAACTGAGGCTCAGAAAAGCTAAGCAGTTTACCCTGGATAACTATAGCAGCAGAGCTACATTATGTCACAGACTAGGGGCCTAAACAAACCTAGGATCCAAGCGACCGGGCTCCTTGTCTGATGTTTCTTTTGTTATTTCATGATGCCTTCTGGGAAAACACGGTGGGATGAGGGGAGACCCAATTCAGACAAGGGCCTGTTTCTTCAGATCTATGTAATTCTGCAGTGAGCACATGTCTGCTCGTTGGCTATTTGTCCTCCATCCAGGTTAGAGCATTGTGGCAAACCTAGGTACTCCCGTGTCTGTTCTTTCATTGAACAGTATTCAGCAACGGTTTGTTACTGGCATTGTTTAGTCACTGAGAGTCAATTCTGTCCCAGTCACTGTGGTGACAGAATATGAGACCAAATGAATATATACATGGAGAGCAAAATACTTTTTTTTTGAAATGCCACCTGTATTACAGAGTAAATTCTCACATACACATATACTCTAGTCTTCCATTGATCAAAGCAAAATCCTTTTAAAAACTATCCTACAGGCCACCAGCCCGTAATATCAGAACTGTTCATAGCCAGAAGGTGTAGGACTGGAAACCACAGAGGCATATAACTTGGGAAAGTCTGTTAGCCTCTCTGAGCTTCCTTGAGTCTCAGTTTCCTCATCTGTAGAATAAGGACTAAAATCCGTGCCCCTGGAAGATAACTGAGAAAGGAGACACAAAAGCACCATCAGCTGTGTTTCTGTGAAGGCAACAATGCACATTTACATGAAGGTTTTTGCATCTCTTCAGTCTCTGTTGTTGGTTGTCCCTGGATTATTACTTTGCTGTATCAATCTTTCTGCCTGAAGCAGGAAAGATTTCCCTTCAATGATTCAAGCAAAGTGCTGACGCCACCCACATGGCTAAAAGCTGGGTAGAGACTTTAATCCTGCCTGTACCTTCCTTCTCCTGGAGCCCTCTAGGTCAGTGCTGTCCAACAGAACATGTTCTACGCCACATGGCGGCTACTGAGCTCTTGAAATGTGGCTCGTGTGATCGAGGGTTTCCACTCGTTTAAGTAGCCACAAGTCCTGCGTCTGATAGCACCCGTCTGCCTGGGCCGTGCCGAGGACACATTCCTCCCCCACCCGCTCCTTTTTTGTCTTATCTCTCAGAAATCCATCAACTGTAAGCACTCATCTCGAATTGGTTCATTCCAAGATTCTCAAACTTCACTGCGCATGAGAATTCACCTGGAGATCTTGATAAAACAGTTTCTTGGGCTACTCCCCACAGAGATCCTGATTATGTAGGTCTGGGGCAGAGCTGGAGATTTTTGCTTCTAACACATTCCCAAGTGTTGCTGATGCTGCTGGTCCAAGGACCACAGTTTGAGAACCAGGGGTTAATTAAACATCTTGTTTGGAGACAGCTCTGCCTTAGGGACTCTGTGGATCCTGGAGGCTCACAAAGACAACCCCCTAGGGTGATGACTCTCAACACCGGCAGCCCTTTGGAATCACCTGGGGAGCTTTTAAAAACTCCTGATGACCAGTCCCCATCCCAGACCAGTTAAATTAGAATCTCTGTGGCTATGACCCAGACATGAGTGTTTTTTAAAGCTTCCCAGATGATTGCAGTCAGGACTGAAAACCAGTGCATTCATGGGGCTTAAGCAAATTTCACTGCCTATTAAGTGGTAACAGAATCCACTCTGTTTATGTTACAGGGCTGTCGTGAGAATCTGATGAGACTATGAGTGCAAAAAGGATTTATAAACTGTAGGACGCAAGAGTAACGATTTAGGCATTGGTGATCTTTTTTTTTTTTTTTGAGTGCAAATTGTGTTCTTAGAAGGTGCTGGAAATTAGGGGGATGAGGACTAAAACTTGTAAGAGAAGCAAGCAATACAATGTGCTGCATCACATAAAACACCGTGTGGGCGGCTGACATTTGGTCCCAAAGGAAGACTCTAGGAGACAGTGTAGAACCTGCATTGAACTGTAGTTACCCCGCCCAGGGGGTACACAGCTTGGTTATTTATCCACCAACCCACTGACTGAGGTTCTCCAGGAAGAATGCTAATTTCTAGCATTTTCTGCTGTCTGTCACAGTGAGAGTGGGCTCTGGTGGTCAAAGAAAGCCCTCCTGAGAAGAGAAGGCATTGGCAATCTTGCAAGAGCCGATGAGCAAATGCTGCTGTCAGCCCTGTTGGACTGAGATAACGCTGCTGTCTGGGGTTTGCCTTCCAGTACTGTCCCACTGACCAGGCTGCCGCAGGCACGGACGCTGAGCACGTGCAGCAGTTCTACAACCTTCTAACAGCCTCCATTGATGTATCCAGAAGCTGGGCAGAGAAGATTCCCGGATTCACTGATCTCCCCAAAGAAGATCAGACATTACTTATAGAATCAGCCTTTTTGGAGCTGTTTGTTCTCAGACTTTCCATCAGGTAATTACTACTCTTTTATCTTCCTTTAGTCCACTCCTTCCTTTGAAGAAGTTTGAAACCTGCTGGGTTATTAACTTAAGTCAGTGGGGAAAAGTTTGGTCCAGAAGGACATATGTAATATGACCAGGCGTTAAAAAACTGACCAGTGGATCGAACACTGGGCTGGTAGCCGGGTCTCCTGGGTTCTAGTCTGTTTTAACAGACTTGTTGTAAGACCCTAAGCAGGTCACTTGCTTCATCAGAAATTTAGTTTCCTTCTTCATACAATGAGAAGGTTGGATTTGGCAGTTGGTGGGCTTCCCTGGTAGCTCAGCTGGTAAAGAATCCGCCTGCGCTGCAGGAGACCTGGGTTTGATCCCTGGGTTGGAAAGGTTTCCTCCAGGAGAGAGAGCAACCCACTGCAGTATTCTTGCCTTGAGCATCTGCGTGGACAGAAGAGCTTGGCCGGCTAGTCTGTGGGGTCGCGAAGAGTCGGACACGACTGAGCGACCAAGCACCACACACAGCAAAGCCCCTTGCAGCGCCGTCATTCTGATTCCAGGAAGATTCTCGCGGTGCAGAAGGTATTTCCTGGGAGCCAGGGTTTTCAGCATTGCCTTTGCCTCCCAGGTTTCCATTTAGTGTTACTTTCTTATGCACCAGGGGGGGCGCTAAAGAGTTCCCACAGCTTTGCAGCCTCCAGTATTTACTCCAAGAGCTCTGGATCAATAGATGTGGTTCAGCTTACCGCACTCTGACGTCAAAAACAAAGAGAAACTGATTTTTCAGAAAGCTAGAACCTGGAATCTAAGCTTCTGCCATAAAGTTCACATGTAGCATTTTAAACTCTATCTTCCTTGCTTCCTTTCAGTTATATATTTATAGGAGATGGTATCAGCGTTCTGCCAATATTATAGGAAAAACCGTCACATTTCCCTTCTTTCTCTTCCCTGCTACCCGCTCCCTGGTTTCGCACCATGTTACCAAAAACTCTCATTTAAGATGCAAATTCCCATGCCTCATTCCCAGCTGTTTTGGTCTGGATCTACGTTGAAGCAAGTCTAGAAATCTGCATTTTTAAATGTACTTATTGATATTTTAAAATGAAAGATGAATATTTTTAATAATGAAATGTACAAATCACAAAGAAGATAGACATCATAAACCATTAGACACCTAACAACAGAGAAACAAAGATACATAAAGCAAAAATCAGAAGAAATAAGAGGGAAAAGAAACAATATATATAATCATAGTGTGACATATTAACTTAGAAATCTGCATTTTTACGTCATCTCGCAATTCTGATGCCACTGGTCTGAGGTCGGGGTTTTAAACCCTGAGACTGAATCATTCTGTCCTGTGCATGCATGCCTCTGGGGAGGGATCTGTGGGAGAAACCGAAGTGGAGTTACAACCAGACCGCCAGTAATTAGCATAATTACAGCCAATCCTGCATGTGCAGGAGCTAAGCTGAATCAGCAATATGACTGCGATCTATTCGGCAGGCAGCAAAGGATTAAGTCAGAGATCAGCTCCATGAGGGCGGACACCATGTCGGCCCTACTCATCAGGTTTTCTCCAGTGTCCAGCCAAGGAACGGCACTGGTTTTGTGCTCAAGAAGTGCTTGCTGAGTGAATGAATGAATGAAGTTATTTCTCTGAAAAGCACAGCTAAAGAGACGTTAGCATGTTACTGCAATGGGCCAAGGGAGAGATGTGGCAAGAGATTTGAAAATTAAAGGAGAGTTAAGATTAAGTTAAGGTCCACCTAAAATTCAGAATTAGTTACACCTAACACTGGCTGGGCTCCTCTTGTATTCAGGCACTGCGCATAGACTTTCAAATTCTTTATTTTATTTAATTCCCACAACATTCTTTGGAGGTAGCAATTAGAATTCCTGTTTTATAGATGAGGATAAGGAAACGCAGAAAGATTAAACAAGTGCCCAGGCTCCACAGAGGAGTGGTGCTAACTAGAGGTTGCAGGGTGCCTTTCATGAGAGAAGAGTGGGATCACTGCGGACGTCATATAAACTGTCAGGGTGGGTTGAGAAGTAGCCCTCCACAGCCCAGCTGCTAAAAGCGGAGAGTGTAGTGCAAAACAGACTCTTTCTACTTTAGACTGTTGTCCAGTTTATGGTTGATTTCTGGCGCTTGAGAGGACTTGGTGTTTTTAGAGTCTGCACAGTGGAATTGTAGTGTCTAACCTCGGGCCTTATCAGTTTTCAACATTTAAGAAAATGAAAGAGAATTCCTGGCAGAGGAGCACTGAAGGGAACAGTCTCGTGCTCGTGGCGCAGAGAGACGGGGCAGTGGGCTTCACTTCCAGCATCCATCCCAGGGCAAGCCAGAAAGTGCATCTGCCCATAAGGGAGCACACGCCCTACTCCGAGCACCTCCAGGGCTGAGGCTTACCAGGGGAGTCAGCAGACCACCAGCAGTGGTTGTTTATCCCAGGGTTGTTCATGGAGGGCATCTGGGTGGGTGTCACAGCACCATGCTGGGTTTTGAAGGCTGCCCAAAGCTGTGTGGGTACCGGTGCCTTATGATGTCATCCCACTGGACAGATTGAACAGGCCTATTTTTGTGTCTCTATCCTCACCCCCCGATGACTTTCTCTCGTAGGTCAAACACTGCTGAAGATAAGTTTGTGTTCTGCAACGGACTTGTCCTGCATCGACTTCAGTGCCTTCGTGGATTTGGGGAGTGGCTCGACTCCATTAAAGACTTTTCCTTAAGTTTGCAGAGCCTGAACCTTGATATCCAAGCCTTAGCCTGCCTGTCAGCACTGAGCATGGTCACAGGTAAGCGCCGCCCTGACGTGGCGCGAAGGGACGGCGGCTCCCCCTCCCTCTTTTCCTGGCTTCTGTTTGGTTCTGGCTTTGGCTGCCACTAACACACAGGAAATTAGGAAAATGATTGCCCCACTTTGCTGAAATCCACTGAGTCTGTTGTTTAGACGCGAAGTCGTGTCTGACTCTCTGCAACCCCATGGGCCGTAACCCAGCAGTTCATAGGCTTTCCCCTGTTCATAGGCTTTCCCAGGCTGGAATACTGGAGTGGATTGCCATCTCCCTCTCCAGGGCATCTTCCCAACCTAGGGATGGAACCCACGCCTCCTGTATTGGCAGTCGGATTCTTTACCACTGAACCACCAGGGAAGTCCCCCGCCAGGTTTATCCTAGTTTAAAACAGGAGACACACAGCTGCAACTTATTGTCATGAACTTCCAGGAAAGAGGATTCCCCGTGGGTTTGGTTATTGTCAGTAAACCCAGTTATATGAAAGTCTAAATTTCTACAGGGTCACTGAGGGCAGTTGGACTCACTGCTTCAGGGTTATTTTTACAGGGGCTTTTGAAGGAAGATTACCTTAACCAGCCTGGTCCTGTGGGGCAGAGGGGTGGGTCTTCGCTTCTCCGCAGTCCTTGGCTAGTAACCCAAAGTAAAACCAAAGAACTGCATACACATAAAACACACATTTATTTATTTATAGCTTTATTCAGCAGCTTTAATTGGCAGAGGACTGAGGAAAATGGGTATTCATATACAGCAAAAACGGTTCAGCTCAACCACTTTAAGGGTTTAAACCAGAAGTCTGGAACATATTCAGCTTCTCTGCTATGTCTTTCTCCCCCAGATGTCTCTGCCTGTCTATCTTTTGGGAGGTAAATGATTCCAAGGCAGAATGACAAAGAAAAACAAAACATAGTGGATGAGAAAGGGACACCATCTCCCTGTAGCTGCTCGAGGCCCAGCTCCCCTCTGCCCCTTCACACTTTCAGAGTTTCCTGTTCGATCTCACCCTTCTTGTTCAAACGGGGGCTTGGTGAAGTCGTGACAGCAGATGGAGGCTCCAGAAGAGGCTAGCCAGAGCGGCTTTCACCTCCCATCCTTTTCATCAGACTCAAGTACAGGCTAGATCATTGGACTGAGGATTAAGTTTCAGATTCTTGACATGCTCCTGGCTGTGGAAAACATGTTTTTTAAGGCTGGTGATGCGTTTCACAGAGGGCCAGATGCATCCTGGGGCACACATGGGCCCTTCTTTCTGATGCATCAGAAATATGCATTGTTTACACACACCTCCTTGGGACATCGCCTGTTAACTCGAGTGAGACGTGTCTGAGCACATTAAGAGACTAAGCTGGTTCATCATCTCATGGTTTACGTGAAGGCCAAGAAGAGGAAAGGTGTGTGCAATGGTGGGGATAGGACTCCAGTGTGTTTCCTCAGGATTCCAAGTGGGATAGACTCCTCCTGGCCTTTGGTCCCGAATGCGAAGTCTCCCTGCTAGAGGCTTCCACGGAAACCATTGACAGAACAAAAAGAAACAGTCTCCAAGAGTATGGATTTGATTAAGGGGTCTTTCAAAGGCACACCTGAAGAAAATAAACACATTGAAAGCACAAATGTTTCACTCCAGCAGGACTGGAATGAACCTGGGGCTCAAAGGCTAGCTTTCAGCTGAGGCTCCCCAGCTCAGGTTTAAAATCATTCGGCTCTTCCTAGGACAGTTAAACCTTCAAAGCTGGAAAGTATGAAATTTAGTTAATTTAGAAAAACAGACACAAAAACCAGAGCCAGCTAACCTTTGCTTTCAGTAAATAAAGCCAACACATTGCACATTGCTATGGAAATGGGATTTGAGTATAGTTCATCGACAAGTGCTCCCTGATCTAGGCACTCTGCTGCAATTCGGTGGGTTTTCAGAGATGGTAACACACACACCTGGAAGGGATAGAGCTCGCAGAAGAGTCCATGTGATACCAGGCGCTGAGTGCCCCGGTGGGGATGTGAGAGTGGGTATCAGGCGCTGAGTGCCACAGTGGGGATGTGAGAGTGGGTCCCAGGTGCTGAGTGCCCGGTGGGGATGTGAGAGTGGGTATCAGGTGCTGAGTGCCCCGGTGGGGATGTGAGACTGGGTCCCAGATGCTGAGTGCCCGGTGGGGATGTGAGAGTGGGTCCCAGGTGCTGAGTGCCACGGTGGGGATGTGAGAGTGTGGGTCCCAGGCGCTGAGTGCCCCGGTGGGGATGTGAGAGTGGGTCCCAGGTGATGAGTGCCCCGGTGGGGATGTGAGACTGGGTCCCAGGCGCTGAGTGCCCCGGTGGGGATGTGAGAGTGGGTATCAGGTGCTGAGTGCCACAGTAGGGATGTGAGAGTAGGTCCCAGGCGCTGAGTGCCCCGGTGGGGATGTGAGAGTGGGTCCCAGGTGCTGAGTGCCCGGTGGGGATGTGAGAGTGGGTACCAGGTGCTGAGTGCCCCGGTGGGGATGTGAGAGTGGGTCCCAGGCGCTGAGTGCCCTGGTGGGGATGTGAGAGTGGGTATCAGGTGCTGAGTGCCGTGGGGATGTGAGAGTGGGTACCAGGTGCTGAGTGCCACGGTGGGGATGTGAGAGTGGGTATCAGGTGTTAAGTGCCACGGTGGGAATGTGAGAGTGGGTCCCAGGCGCTGAGTGCCCCGGTGGGGATGTGAGAGTGGGTCCCAGGTGCTGAGTGCCATGGTGGGGATGTGAGAGTGGGTATCAGGTGCTGAGTGCCACAGTGGGGATGTGAGAGTGGGTACCAGGTGCTGAGTGCCCCGGTGGGGATGTGAGAGTGGGTTCCAGGTGCTGAGTGCCCGGTGGGGATGTGAGAGTGGGTCCCAGGTGATGAGTGCCCCGGTGGGGATGTGAGACTGGGTCCCAGGTGATGAGTGCCCCGGTGGGGATGTGAGACTGGGTCCCAGGTGCTGAGTGCCATGGTGGGGATGTGAGACTGGATATCAGGTGCTGAGTGCCACAGTGGGGATGTGAGAGTGGGTACCAGGTGCTGAGTGCCACGGTGGGGATGTGAGAGTGGGTCCCAGGTGATGAGTGCCACGGTGGGGATGTGAGAGTGGGTCCCAGGTGATGAGTGCCACGGTGGGGATGTGAGAGTGGGTATCAGGTGCTGAGTGCCACAGTGGGGATGTGAGAGTGGGTCCCAGGTGCTGAGTGCCACGGTGGGGATGTGAGAGTGGGTCCCAGGTGCTGAGTGCCACGGTGGGGATGTGAGAGTGGGTACCAGGTGCTGAGTGCCACAGTAGGGATGTGAGAGTGGGTCCCAGGTGCTGAGTGCCCGGTGGGGATGTGAGAGTGGGTCCCAGGCACTGAGTGCCATGGTGGGGATGTGAGAGTGGGTACCAGGTGGTGAGTGCCCCGGTGGGGATGTAAGAGTGGGTCCCAGGCGCTGAGTGCCATGGTGGGGATGTGAGAGTGGGTATCAGGTGCTGAGTGCCACAGTGGGGATGTGAGAGTGGGTCGCAGGTGCTGAGTGCCCGGTGGGGATGTGAGAGTGGGTCCCAGACGCTGAGTGCCACGGTGGGGATGTGAGAGTGTGGGTCCCAGGCGCTGAGTGCCCCGGTGGGGATGTGAGAGTGGGTCCCAGGTGCTGAGTGCCATGGTGGGGATGTGAGAGTGGGTCCCAGGCGCTGAGTGCCATGGTGGGGATGTGAGAGTGGGTCCCAGGCGCCGAGTGCCCCGGTGGGGATGTGAGAGTGGGTACCAGGTGGTGAGTGCCAAGCAGGGGATGTGAAAGTGGGTACCAGGTGCTGAGTGCCAAGGTGGAGATGTGAGAGTGGATACAAGGTACCAGGTGCTGAGTGCCAAGGTGGAGATGTGAGAGTGGATACAAGGTGTTGAGAGACCCATGGTGGGAGATGGTCATCTCAAAAGAGGTAGTGTAAAAGAATCTAAAAAAGAGTGAATACATGTGTACGTATAACAGAGTCAGCTTGCTGTACACTTAAAACTAACACAACATTGTAAATCAACTATACTCCATTAAAAAAATTTTTTTAAAGATGTAAATATATCCAAACCAGAAAAAAAGAAAAAAGAAAAAGAGGCAGCATGAGCTGGTCTTTGATAAAAACATGGGATTTCTCCATGCTAAAATGGAAGGAGTGAGAATTCTAGGCATGAATATAAATTTGCTAAAGCCATTGAAAATGTGGCTGTCATACATTTCAGGTCTAAAAACCAGAGTGGTGGGAAGTGAAACAGGTGTGATAGGTTAGGGTGAGGCACGGCATGGAGAACCCTTCACACTTGGATGAGAAGGTTGGGGTTTATCTTGAGAGCAGTGGGGATCCGCAGAGAGGAGCTTCATGGCCAGGCTTGCATTTTGGAGAGGTCTACCGTGACAGCTGGTTTTGAGCTCAGATTTTAGCAGGAAAGAGACTAAGAGGGAAAAAGCCAGTCTAGGTATAAAAGTTTGATTTAAGAGATCCTGAGGCTGACATCTTTTTTTGTTTTACTCTTTAAGTGAAAGTGAAAGTGAAGTTGCTCAGTCGTGTCTGACTCTTGGCGACCCTGTGGACTGTAGTCTACCAGGTTCCTCGGTCCGTGGATTTTCCATGCATGAATACTGGAGTGGGTTGCCATTTCGTTCTCCAGCAGATCTTCCCAACCCAGGGATCGAACCCAGGTCTCCCACATTGTAGGCAGACGCTTTACTGTCTGAGCTGCCAGGGAAGCCCCGTTTTACCCTTTAAGTAGAAATTAATAGACAGCAGTGAGGTCACAGCATGTGGGTGCCCGGCACTGCCAGCCTGGAGCGACTGGCAGTTCAGTGCAGAGAATACAGACTCGGAGTTAGGAGAAGGTGGTGCCAGTCGAATCTCGGCCTGCAGCGTGCTGTGTGCGGCAGGTACACATGGTTTCCTGCTGCAGCTGTCTAGTCAGGAAGTCCTGTCCAACTCTTTGTGACCCCACCGACTGTAGCCCGCCAGGCTTCTCTTTGCATGGGATTTCCCAGGCAAGAATACTGGAGTGGGTTGCAAT